TGAGATATCAAAAAAGTACTCCAGAGTGTTGTTCAGCATGGGGGTGAGTAGAAAATGAAGGCTGATTATGTTTTGGGTGTACTATTCCTTTAAAGTCCAAGGGTCCATTTCAAGAAGCAGGTTTAACAAACTCAGATTGAAATGGGCAACTCTAAATTGATCTAGCCTAAGGTGGGGAACTCTAAGTTTTCGGTTTCAAAATGGCTGCTATGGATAAATTAAATCAACTCTAAGTAGAACCACTCAAAGTTGAGCACGTGCGTAACAAGTATGATATGCCATTATCAGTGGAGCCCCGATTCGATTAGTCACCATGACAACAGGCAACAGGAAGTGCCTAGTTCACACTGCTGGAACTATAGATTTTAATGAAGGAATGAAAAAAAAAATGGAGAATGTGTTGAAAAGACAGAGAAACAGCGCTACAGCGGCAAAGAAGAGGAAGTTGGTGCAAGAGAACTGCTCGAGTTAATGCGTAGTTTTATATGAAGTCCCTAAGGCAGGCCGTTTTCACATTTATTAAGAGCACTCTCCTCTCTGTTGTTCCATTTGCAGGTTACTAAAATAATATTCTTCCTGATCAAAATCACATTCCTAGATTTAACTGTAATAATATACTTTCTATATTACATTTTTTTCTTTTTTTTTTTTTAGCAGAAACTGAATTTCAGAAAGCAAAAAAACTAAATTGTACTAGTAAGAATTAAGTTTTATATACCTAGAAATGTTAACACATTTAAGTGGCCGTTTTGCCATCTATCAGCTTTACTGAATATGTATTTATGACATCTGAAAAACATTTTTTCATAGTCAAAATAATACAAATGTTGATCCGTACCAAAAGGAGTATGGAGATCTGAAATTAATTTCTAGAAATCCAGAATATTTATTCTAGATGTGAAGAATGTCATTTTGTTTGAGATGGTCATTTTGACAAAAAAAAAATATATTTTTTTTCAGATATCAGGAATATATGTTCAATCAAACTTAGCATAATTTATAACATTTCCAAGACATACATATGTAGGGAATCAGGGTGGGCATATCTGTGGTTGCTGTGCTACCCTCCCCCCGGTTTTAAATACTTAAAACTTAAAACAGCTATAATACTTTATTTTTGGTGTGGAAATTGGGATACTATTTATATGATTTGGTGCTTATGAAATTCTTCATTAGTGATTCTAAGGTCATTTTCAAGTTGAGATTTAATGCTACGGTAGTCTTGCTACCTTATTCTTAAATAAAAGGGAGTTTTTCCTCTCCACTGTCGCTACAAGCATGCTTAGTGTGAGGGATT